TAGATACGTATGATGCACTATCCTCGCAGTAGAGAGCGCTATTTATGCATAGTCGCTCGAGGCGATAGCCGAGAGCGACTCTAGCTTCTTTCGTGCTTAGCAAACCTCCCAAGTGCATCCATAACTCAATAGTGTACACTGTGGTGTTTACCATTTGTTAATTAGAAGCTGCCAAAGCATTACTGGGTCTACAAATCAGCCTCAAACCAAAAGAGGTTTTGTCACCCTGCCATAACTTCAAGGAATTTGCCAAAAAATTGCAAGAGCTTTAAATCAATTCAATATCAATGTTGCTCAGAAACCCGTAACGACCGTTGGCTCCTTTTTGAAAGAACCTGAAGACAAATTTAGTAAAGACTTATTAACAGGAGTGATCTATAAAATCAGTTGTAAAGATTGTGACAAAGTTTATATCGGTCAAACATCAAGAGCCTTAAGATCCAGAATTAGAGAACACAAGAGAGCGATTTTTTTACGGGAGATAGAAATTATCTATTAATCCAACATTGTATAAAGTACAATCATGATTTTGACCTTGAGGACGTCAAGATCATTGACCGCTGTTCCTAATGGTCGCAAAGATTAGTTTTAGCATAGTTAGTCCCCTCTACTAACTATGGTTTTAGAAGCGTGGCACTCAATTTGTGAACCGAATGCCATTAATGAACACATTTACTTTCCTGACATTTACAAGGCCCTTGGCAATCCTAAGTGACGTTTCTGCGGCTCTTTTTAAAGCACTCATTTGCTTTCGTAGCCATTTTATTGCTGAAGAAGGTTATAGTATTTTAAGCGAAACTTCCTCACACAAAGTTTTTTAGTCAGTGACAACAAAATTTTTATTTATTATCATGCCTGACTACAACTATAGTATTTTTAAAGACAAGAATCGCTTAACTGCTAACTTTAGTCATTAAATATCAATTCCAAGGGAGTTGACACTCTAATTGAAGTTTGAAACTCCGAATTTTTATTCAAAATTTCAGTCTAGATGGGTTCTCAGGGAACGGTTGTCATATAGATTCATCGATGAGCAACGCAGAAGAAACAGTTTGCAGATGCAATCATTTGACTCATTTTGCTGTCTTAGTCGATTTTAGCGATGGTCCAGAGGTAATTTTTTCTTCTTTTTGTTGTATTTTGTATCCTGAGTAGTAATAAGGGTGTTGTGTCAATTGATCTGTTGTTCGTTTCAACTTTTGCTACAGCTCTCCACTAAGGACCTAACTATTCTGGAGATCATCACCTATGCAGGATTAAGTCTTTCTGTCATCGGAATGCTTTTGACGATAGCCTTGTATTTTTTCTTTACGTAAGTACTGTTTCTAAACACCCTGCGATCTATATTATTGGATCAATTTGACTACGTTAGATAAATCAGGTCTGTACGTGCAAAAAAACATCAGATCCCTCAAAGGTTTGAAGCATATGAAGAGACTGTCAACCGTACTTTTCTTTCAGTCGCTGGAAAACAATTTTAGAGATAAAAACAACAATAAATTATGGACGATGTTCTTTTCAATTTCCTTGGAACTTTGTACTCTCTGTATGTTGCAAAATTCATGAGTCATTGTAATGTAATGTAATGCTTTATTTAATGTCCAAAACGTGGGAGGTGCTTGCGCAATCTTCCGAGCCAGAGGCTCATGTTAAAAACGCTCGATAAGCTAAGAAATACTAGAATTATCTATATACAAGTATTGGAGAAACTTAAGAACATCTAAATTTAAGAAAAAGATATAAATATATATATGTAGGCATGATTATATCATAAATTAGATATGAATTTTATAAATATAAACTAGCCCGAAAGTAAATAGAAATATGAA